ACACGGAGCAGTGGGCAGCCATTTATGCTGCGGCGCCCGGGGAGCAGTTGGGGGTTCAGTGCCTTGCTCAAGGGCCCCTCAGTCGTGGTATTGAAGGTGAAGAGAGCGCTGTACATTCACTCCCCCCACCTACAATCCCTGCTGGTACAAGACTCGAACCCACAACCTTTGGGTTACGAGTCCGACTCTCTAACCATTAGGCCATAGAGTTATTAATGGAGTAGATAGTTATTAATAGAGTTAGCGTTATGAATGGAGTAGATAGAGTTATTAATAGAGTTAGCGTTATGAATGGAGTAGATAGAGTTATTAATAGAGTTAGCGTTATGAATGGAGTAGATAGAGTTATTAATAGAGTTAGCGTTATGAATGGAGTAGATAGAGTTATTAATAGAGTTAGCGTTATGAATGGAGTAGATAGAGTTATTAATAGAGTTAGCGTTATGAATGGAGTAGATAGAGTTATTAATAGAGTTAGCGTTATGAATGGAGTAGATAGAGTTATTAATAGAGTTAGCGTTATGAATGGAGGTAGATAGTGTTATTAATGTAACTTACTCTATCTTTGGGCAGCAGACATGGCTGGGAGCACTTTCCCGGTGTACAAGGTGGATGCCATCGTGCAGTTCTACCGAACCGAGGTTCTGACTGGACAAGAGGCTAAGCTTTTCAGCAAGAGTGATATTACTCCCAGCCCGAAGGTGAAGTATCCTCCTGGATGAGGGTTTCCACTGTCCTAGACAACGAAGGATTACAAATAACACTTTATCCGATAATCACAGCAACTGGAAAGGTAATTGAATTAGTATAAAATACCAGACCATTATTAAAATAATGCATTTCATTTGCAGGCAGAATCCGTTCAAAGAGTCTTCATGAGGGTTTTGCAGCTCTTTCGTTTCAAGCCTGAGTGCCATTACGTGGTGAGTGTCTTTGCTTATTTACCTCAGTGTTGCTTTTTCACATCAGAGCTGAATTCTGAATTATACAGTGCTTCACCCATGTTCCCCACAGATGCCCTTGTCTGGAAACGTCCAGCACCCCGTGCTTTATGAGTGGCTTACACCAATCATGAGTGTTTACATACGCATGTAAGAGTTTAACTCGAATATCGACTGACATATTTCATTCAGAGCCCCTGAAAACTGCGTGTGATGAGATGTTGTGGAAGGTCTGCATGTATTCCTCAGCGCTGAGTTTCTCCACATCTACATTTCTTTTAGGTGCGAGCTCTTACCGTTTTGTCATGTATTTGATTTTTGGCTGCATGACTTGATCAACCCCAGTAAGTAGCTTTTATATTCTTTCTTTTAGTTTCACTATCAGGCTTCGCAGAGCTCAAAAATAAGATTGATATTTTTTCCCTTGCTGCCCCAGTATATATATATATAGCCCTGCTACTATTTTCACTGCCCCCACAGAGGAATAATTAAATTTGTTTAGTACAAATTACAAAACACAGTATGTCTTATTACACACTCTTGCAGTCCTGCCAACTTGATGGAATAGGTCACCCAAAAATATTCATGAGGAATATATTCAAGCCAACATAAAACAGTAATTGTAAGCATTTTATTTAAATTATTTCAGGTTTTTTTCAAGTTTAATGCTGATTTAATGTTGAGCAGTGATGCAGAGCTGAATTATTTTTCACCCTTCTGACAGAGAGCAAGCGAACGATCATCATACTGAGTGCAATCCAAAATTACCTGCACTTCAGAAAGCAGAGGATGGAAATTATTGCTGACGACCAGCAAAGTTTTGTAAGATGCTGTTTTTAATATTTATTTGATGTCCACGGTTTAGTCAGCTCAAAACATTTGATGTGCAGATTTCATTTTTCCATTGCGAGTATGTTCTTTCTTGGGTGTAGGCTATTGAGCCTGTACGTTTTTACTCTGCAATACTGTGTTGTGACAATTCACATTAAATCAAGGCCATAACATTGTTTTGCTGACTTAGTTTTTTTGTTAAGCAGCGGTCTTATAAGGACCGAGTCAAGGCATACACAAGAGAAATAAAGGAAGCTGAGAAAAAAAGTGAGAAACTGACGTAAGTGTGTGTTTTCTCTCTTTAAATATGTCTGTTTTATTAAAAATGATGCTTAATTCTGAACAAGACAAATGTTTCCTTGACAGCACCATACCGCCGGAGCAGCAAGCAGAGGATAAAGAGCTGGACGCCGCTGTGGCAGAGCTGAAAGCTAGCGTGCAGCACCAGTACCAGGATGTGGTGAGCTGGCAGGGGGTTTACATGCATGTGTACCTGATTCTGTGCATACTGTTTTGTTGCATAAATTGCGTTTTGACCAAGTTCACTACTGACATGATGCATTAAAGCTATCCCATGGCCCAGTGTTTCGCAGGGCTTATCTTGCATGCTTTCCCCCCTTGTCTTCTTTGTGTTTGACTTTGTATGTTCTCTCTTTAGAACGCAGTGAATGAAACGGTTTCACAGTGCAAGACTGAAATTGCTGAGATGTCACAGAAACTGGTTTGTATCAGATCATAAATTTAAATGGATCAGAGTTTATTCACAGCTGTTGCATGAGGGTTAATGACGTGATGTAACCGGAGTAGTGACAGATCGTTTCTTCTGTGTTGTGAGGTACGTCTGAGTGAGACCCGTCTGCCAAATCCACACTAATATTATTTTTAACATGGAATAGAACTTGTTCATTTGTCGCTATTCTAAGACACTGAACCTAATCATATCAATACATTTCAAATCACTTAAGCATTTAGCTTGCAACCATGCAGTAAAATGACTTCTTTACAGCAGTGGTCAGCAACAGGCCACCAGAACTGACCCGCCAGCAATAATATCTGGGAAGTTATAGTTCTCAAGGAATTTTTGTTCCTTCTAGATACTGAATATTTTCAGCTGAAAGCATGATTTAAACAAGTGCTATAACACACAATCGCTCTCTCAATAATGCATTCAAGCAAATGTAATCTTACTACATCTGTATCCGATTTCGAACGAGCAGGAATCTGTAAGAAATGCATCGAGCCGTAGCTAAAACAACTGATGAAAACGTACTGTTATTTTCATCACAAACAACATTTGCACCGCAAAATGCAGCAATTATACTTTTTAATGCCGACAACCATGTTATTAGCTTGTCATGTGGTAGGACAAAAGTTTGCACACTAGTGTTCCAATAAGCCACTTTGAAACTCTCCTGTTATTGTATTTATTTAATTTTTTGATATGTTATGAACAGAACTGTGATATTTCAAACATACTGAAAGACTTTAGCCGCGGAGCGTTGTTTCTGAGATCAGTGACGAGGAGTGGAGGGATTATTAAATGCTCGGGGAAATTGTTGACGCTTCACTCCGCTCACATACTCTGCTGCACACCGCCGCACATTTAAATTTAGTCATTTAGCAGACACTTATCCAAAGCCACTTACAGTTGGGGAACACATCAAGCGGTTCTTCTTAAAGAGGCAAACACACAGTAAGTGCATTGTTCAAATAAGCACAAGCTAGAAGGGAAGGAATAAAGAAATCCTTGTTTTAAGGATGAAGTCAAGTAGTGTCGAAAGAGATGAGTTTTCAGCTGTCGCTTGAACATTGTCAGGGATTCAGCATTCCGGATAGCGGTGGGAAGATCGTTCCACACTAATGTGGCTTTTTGTTAATGACTGTCCTTCTGCAGGATTTAACACCGACCGGTCACTACCCGTTACAAACGACACTGTAACAGTCTCTAACAGGCAATTCTAGTTGCCTTTTTCATCAATTAATTTCTTAAATTATCCTTTGACTATGTTCTGGCAAAAAAAAAAATTTATTTGCCGACCCCTGCTTTACAGCTTTGCAAATATTGTGCAAAAAATTGTATTTAACACATTGAAAGATGTTGTAAGCTGAGATCATGATGGGTGTAACTTGCCTTTCCAGACCAGAGTGCAGAAGCAGTGTGTTATGACACGCTCGTCACCCAAAAACAGAAACTCATTTACTCACCTTTCATGTTTTTTCATTCATCAAATGAGATTTTTAATGTTCTTGTTTTTGTCCATCCTCTGAAACTGCACGCCACCAGACCTTACGAAGACATCGTAAATCTAATTGATACGAATTGGTCCTGTAGAGCTGCGGTCCTGCAGATTTCAGCTCTGACCCTGATCAAGCACACCTGACCCGCAGCTCGCCGAGGGGGTCTTGATGACTACAGGTGTGTTGGAGCAGGGATGGGGCTGCAGTGTGCAGGATGGTGCTTCTCCAGGAGCAGGGTGTAGATCCCGGAGTGTTCTGAGGAAAGACCAGCTCTTCTATATGATGAACATGTTTCACCTTTTCCTTTCATTTATTCATCAATAAACATTGATCAACACTCATCAAATGCGGTGAATGAATGTGTGCTTGACACACGAGGTTCCTGCATCTTAAGCCAGTATGGTTGAGCTTCTGGATGAACAGTGTTGAATGCACATCAAAAACTCAATGAAATCTTATTATTTGTTGTTTTTCCTTGTTTTGAGATTGAAACATAAAGGGAAAAGTAATTTTTTAAATTCCCCTACAGACTCAAAGGTATGTGGGTTTGGCCACACTGAAGGATGAGCTGGTCAGTCTCAAGTCTCACATTGTGGAGTCACCCGAAGAACTAAGAAATGAGATGGAAAGGATGAAAGAGAACGTGAAGAACATTAGGATGTCAAAAGTATGTATAATTAGCGTGCTCTTTAGGTAATGTGAAACGTTTGCTTACAACCAAGTGTTTTTCACCTGCCATTAAGTCAACAGATCTTTGTTCCAGGGTTCATGCGGTCGTGCAAAACCTGTGAAAGTCATGTAGTTTTAACCTGGATAAGTTTTGGGAAAGTTATAGAAATTAATTTCACAAATCTCTGTATAATAGTATTATGTTTTAATCAGGTCCTGAATTTCGGTACGTGATTGCGCATATATTGCATAGTTTGCATAGTTTAATTTAATTACACACAAAATGATGTCAGAATGTCCGTCCTGGTCATTATTGGTAAACACATTATATATGCTGGTAAACACGGTCGGTTTTGTGTTAAGTGAATGTGAACGGTTGAGGAAGAAAGCGCATGAGTATCAGTGACAGCAGCCTAATAAAGCGTTAATGTTAATCAGACAACAGAAGACACTCGCTGCTCTTGATTTAAATAACTTTAATCTGTTTTTAATTTACAGTTTATTTAGTTTTTGTATCTGAATACTACTGTTAGACTGAAACGGTTTCCAGAACAAAATTCAGTTGCTGATAATATTGGTTAGAGAAATGACAATATCCGCTGATGTGGTGATGGGATCTCTGCTCGAGTCACGTCTGGCACAGCTGCAGCTTATTTAGTAAAGAAATAGAAAGCAGACAATTGGCATTAGTAGTCATTTATTTCAGTTAACACATGCTGTGATTAAATTTGAACAGATTTTTATTCAAACTTGTAAAAGAATGGGTCATTAGGTCATGAATACGGTCTCGAATGTCATGGACATGTGTTGGTAAAGCCCTGTTGTTCTCGCACTGGTTATTGATGTTATCCGGTTTGATTTCTGTTTCTGTTTCGCTGTGTGTCTGAGACAGGAGCTGCTTGACGAAAGGCTGGTGGAAACACAGATGCTGGTGCAGCGTGTAAATCAGTTGGAGGCAGAAATCCAGGTCTTCCTCAAGCAGCTGCAGGACTTACAGAGCAGCATGTGCGAGACCTACCAGCAAAAAGAGGAGGTGACGCTCAGATACACGCAGCAGCATAATGCGCTCCTGAGTAAAAGTATTAAAGGCTTAAAAACAACCTTTATGCATGTTTATTGTACAGGCCCGGAGCTTAGCAGCCATGAATGAAACCCTGCAGAAAGAGCTGAAGAGCCTGAGCAATGAAGAAGGCCAGCTGAAGAGGGCACTTGCCATGAAACTTGACAAGGAGTCTAAACAACAGATCCGTCGACAGAAGAAAAGAGAGGTGAAAGACCAGCAAGTCAGAAATATTTATGGGTAAGTAACTTTTTTTTTCTTATGATTAGGGTTGGGTACCAAAACCCGGTTATGTAACCGGTATGTACTAGAACCGAATCAGAACGCAGATTTCGGTGCCACTTAAATGCCTGAGCGATCGATTGAAATATTTGTCCTAGTTCTCTGAAATGGACGTAAGACGCATGGGTGTCACTAGGCCATTTCTAGCGGGGCTATAGCGATTAGCTCCATAAACTGTACACAAATTCATGATCGCCTCCGTGTCAGTCCTCTAAATTTCATGTGAAAACAGTGGCAGACTTCGTCTCCTCCCCGTCTTTCAGCACGCTCTTCAATTCCGCAGACCGTGGCGGCGCAGCGCGAGCGGACTCAAACATAGGACACAAGGTGTGTGTTTACCGATAGATTGTTGTAATATCTGTATCTTTGCGCTGCGCCGTCTACAGTTTACAAAAGGTCACGAGGGAGCAAGCGGTTTCCCATCTACTGTAAAGTTTTCGCTGCGTTCACCGCTCTTCACACCACAGCGGTTTCCTCCAGCGAAGATCTAGCCCTTAATACATATAAATGCATACTTTATAAAACAATCATATTGCTATTTTCATTTGAAAGTGTAATATTTAATATAGAACATATTACAGTGCATGTGGCATACCATAGTCATTCACAGAGCTGATTAAAGACAGCACTCAGTCAGTTCACTCATTATAACTAAATATCAGAGTGATTGACAGAGATACAGTAGAAACATTGTGTGGTTTTGTATTAAATATTGTTTTGTATTAAATATTAGCCTTAGAGTAAGGGAAGCACTACTCGGGAAATGAGAGCATCCGAGGATGTATATTTATTTTTTATATTTTTCATGTTCTCTTTTTAAAAAAGTATCGGTTCAGGCACCGGTACCGTTTTAAAAGTATCGATTTGGCACCGGTATCGTAAAAAACCCAATCGATACCCAACCCTAGTTATGATGCCTTTAATTAATTTGATACCTGTTATAAATGGCATAAATAAAATCATAAGTAGAATAAATAAAATGATTAAGTTTAGCTGGCAAGTTAAAAACCTGTCATTTTGCTTTAGGAGACATTGGTTCGTTCACTGTAGTCATACAGATTACGGTCATGTCTTATTTTTGTAATTTTGCCATTCTTCTCTAAAAGTATTTGGTTATCTGAATAAAGTTACGTACTTTCTCATTTTGGGGGGGGGGGGGGGGAAACGTGGCACATGTATTGCAGAATTATTTGTCCTAATTATTATACTAATAGCTAAAGATTAAGGTCACAGCAGACCCTTCTTTTTCTTCCCTGCGTAAAAGACGCAATAGATTGTACACCTTTGTTGTCAAACATTGGTGTCTTCATTAGTGATATATATCTGCTGACATTTGGCATTTTTCAATATGTGTTCAAAGCTGGACTTTTATTTTAACAGTGCAGAAAATGGCAGTGCCTCTGCACACGGGGCTCACCTTCTCCGTCTTCATTGTTTACTGTCTCCATTAACTGTTCTAATACAGATAGAAGTCAGTCTAATAATCGGACAGAACTGTTAAACAAAAGAAACTAAAAGGTACACAAAAAAAGTTGCTTTTATATTATTAGTAATAGAAAAGCAATCATTATAGAACCTTCTCGCTTACTGTCATTTAGCATTTAGCAAATACGCATTAATATCATTTAAACATACCTGCTGCCATATCACCCTGCAGCCCAAGACTGGTTGCCCACTGAAGCTAAGCAGGGTCGAGCTGGTCAGTACCTGGATGGGAGACCTCCTGGGAAGACTGTGTTGCTGCTGGAAGAGGTGTTAGTGTGGCCAGCAGGGGGTGCTCACCCTGTGGTCTGCGTGGGTCCTATACTGATGGAGACACTATACTGTCAAAGAGCACCGTCTTTCGGATGAGACGTTAAACCGTGGTCCTGACTCTCTGTGGTCATTAAAAATCCCATGGCACTTCTCGTAAAGAGTAGGTGTGTAACCCCGGGGGCCAGGCCAAACTGCTGCCACTGGCCCTTGTCTATCATGGCCTCCTAATAATCCCCATAATGTGTGGTGAGCGCACTGGTGCCGTTGTACTGTGGCTACCGTTGCGTCATCCAGGTGGATGCTGCACACTGGTGGTGGTTGAGGAGAGACCCCCCCCCCCTCCACATGAATGTAAAGTGCTATATAAATGCGTCATTCAACAAATCTTTGAATGTCTCATAAACATGTGTGAGCGTGCTGGCAGTATGAGTGTGAATGTGCACGGTCTAATTTTGAGCTACAGGCAAAACAAATGAAAAATGTCAGTTTGGATCGAATTTGAGGTTTTCACAAAACTGACTTCACTAAGCCCTCTTCTAGCGATCCCAAAGTTCCAAATCGTAATTAAACATCTAAAATTATCTTAATTTGTGTGAAAATGAGAGGAGTATATCTTTCTCTGCTCTCTTCTGAACGACTGCTGCTGCTTCTCAAGTTGTAGGTTTATTGTTGCAAAGCACAGCATTCCAGCTTTGTGAATATTCATATCGAGTTCTTGATGACATGAGTCCAAACCTGTGAAATATAATTTTCAAACCCATGCTGATGAAAACAAAATGATCACACTGACTTACATTTTCAAATGCGTGCAAATAATGCGCCTCTCCGAGAGTGAGCGATCTCCCTATAAAGTACTTTATTGCGAAATATGTCTTGGCGAGATTCACACAAACATAATCTGTTATGTCTTACATGAACGTTTAGTTTGTTTACGTAGACTTTGTTTCTAAAGTAGAACACAAATGAAGATTAACTCAAACCGAGATTAACTCAAACTGCAGTCTGTCAGTCATATAGGCTCAATCCCAATTCTATTTTATACCCCTTCCCCTTGCCCTTGAAACAGAGTGTCAAGGGGTAGGGGTGAAAATATTCCCCTAAGAATTGGGACACCACTACTATGTCATCACATGTCATCATACGTCGTCTAGCTCCTACAATACACACACCTATGCTGGTGTGCATTAGAGCCTTTAATTACCATTCTATATTAATGCGCTGCTTACTGACACACACACACACACACACACACACACACACACACACATATATCAGAGATTGCGCAGCTCACACATCCAGGAGCAAAGAAACTTGTCAACGCTGCCCCACGACTTTTATTAATAACAGTTTAAATACTGAATCGCTACATTATATTTTCCAGCAACGAGAGGATAAAATAGCTGTTTTTAAAAAAAAAGTAAACTCACTCTAAAAAGTGAAACGCGCATACACGCAACTTTCATCTCTCGCTCTCTCTCTCTCTCTCGCTCTCTCTCTCTCTCTCTCTCTCTCTCTCTCTCGAATTGGCAATATTTGAGAAAAGGGTTTAGCGAATTCTAATTATTGGGGGGACTAGCCCCCCTCAGTGTCTACGGTGGTTATCGCCCTGATCAGACATGAACATATGTTGTGGCACTATCGTGCAGTCTGTAATGATATGACGTTAGTTAGCAAATATTAGCGATTTTTTTTGCAAACATTTCTTTTAGTAACATGACTGTAAATATGGACTCACGATTAAATGTAACATAAAACAAATGATTACTTTTCGTTAAAATCTTTATTAATCTTACATTTATTTGTCTTTTAGTTCGCTCGGGCAGCCATGTTGCCCCTGAAGCCAGTTTACGCTGAGATAATTCATACCCCTTAGTTTGAAATGTGGTCCCGAAAAATCTTCGTTTGAAGGGCTATCTAGCCCTTCCCCTACCCCTACCCCCTCCAACCAAAAGAGAATCGAGACACCCTACCCCTTCACATGAACGTGCCAAACGGAGGGGAAGGGGAAGTGGAAGGGCTAAGGGGTAGAATTGGGATTGGGCCATAATGGAAGTGGATGGTCAAAAAAACATACACCAACAAAACCAAATTAAACCCTATGGCTCGTGACAATTCATTGATGTGTAAAGACACGAAACGATCGGTCTGTGCAAGAAACAACGTTTTTTTTACCTCTGATGCACTGCAATGTCCGAACTGTCCTGAGCGCGTGACGCATCTTCTTCTTCTTGCTTTACGGTGGATCGCAGATTTAAGTAGTGGTCGACCGATATAAAGCCAATATGATTTTTTATTTATTTTAATTAATATTTAAGAAATTTGAAATCATTTGAAAATGGATTAAAAATAATTGTGTAAAATAAACACTTATACTTTAGAAGACAAAGCATTTTTCTCAAATAAATATTTAATAAAAATCTAATTGAAAAGGAAGGAAACACTGTAACCAACAGGGCACTCAGTATTCTGGGAAGTTTGTGTGCACTCATTTTACAGACAGCACGCAATGAAAATTACATGAATATGGCAGCAGGCAAATGCACAAAGCGCAGCATAATTTGAAATCACGAATTTAAAGTTTGTCGATCGCGCGTCTCCAGTGAAGCTGAACTCTCCTCCTATCCGCATTACATTCACACGGACCGACCGTCACGCAGAGAACACGCGATCATGCAGGTCACATGCATGCTTCACAAGATCTCAACTGGATGCAACTAAGTCTGCAAGGTTTGTGAAAATGAAATGTTCATTAGTTATTCAAAGATTTGTTTAAATTATATAAATGCGTATTTGCTGAATGCTGACGGCAAACGAGAAAGTATTATAATGTTTGCCTTTCTATTACTAATAATATAAAAGCAATCGTTATAATACTTTTTTGTATACATTTTAATTGCTTTGTTTAACAGTTATTAGACTTATCCATATTAGACAGAACTGTTAATGACGACGGCGAACAAGAGGGAGAATGTGAGCGGTGTGTGTTCAGGTGCTGCCGCTCTCAGCACCATCAAAATAAAAGTCCCGCCTCGAACGCATCGGCCAAACAGAAAAACTTTATCGGCCAATGCAGATATTTAAAAAATGTCAAATATCGGCCAATATATCGACCATGGCGATATATCGGTCAACCACTACTTATAAGTGCATTACCGCCACCTGTCTCTGAAATGGCCATTGACACTCTATCTACAACAGGGTTC